CACCCAGAATTCCTCCTGATTCCACTCCTTTCCACGCACTTTTTTTTTAGCAGATACTCCCCCTGACAAGAGAAACACTTCAAAGCTGCCAGTTGGCATTTTATTTCCATACCTATCTTCACATCCCATCCACAGCAAAAAAGAATGGTAGACTGGGAATCACCCCAAGACATCTCTTTCCAGCACTATGTTCATCTCAATTGATACACTGTTCTTTGTCCCTGAGTGCCCACTCCTTCCACTAACTGAAAAGAGAAAGAATTAGCAGGGAAAAAAAGGAATTAAAATAACTTACGAGACAGTGAAAAGCCATGCAGGATATAGTGAGTTTCCATGTTCACCTGACAAAGGAATGAGAAACAGAGGCTTTGAAGAACAGAAGCACAGCTAAACATGAAGTACCGTAAAAATTAATCCAAACAGGGGAAAAAATAAAGCAACAGTAGTAGGAAAAGGCCTGGTGAATTGAAACCACAGATAAAGACAACAATGAAAGAAAGAGACACAGAGATGATGTAACATACAATACAATTCAGCCAGCAATGTTTTCCTTTCAAGAATTATTGAGAAAGAATATATATAAGAGGTATGATTAGGAAATGCAACGTAAGAGTAGAACCAAGCAAATACATGGAGGTACGTGGTGTTTTCTGGATTATCATACTGTGCAAAGATGACACAGATCCCATGATTTTCACCAACTACAGCTCACACCTGCTAGAGCCATACAATGATCAGCTAAGCTTGCTTGTAAAGGTATCCCTCCTCTCTCAATACCACATTACCTCAGGCACTACCCTGGTAGAACTATACTGCTCCCTAGACCACAGCAACATAGATGACTGCACTACAACCCTTTCCACATAAACAAAGCCCCTGCCCAAAGACAAAAGCAGTTGCAGTGATTTCCTGTAATCCCAGATTAATCTAAAAAACATATTATATATCTGTAATGCATACAGAAAAGGCAGTTCTGCTTTTAAATTACCTACTCTGATCAGATCCATATGGACTAAAGAGTTATGCTAATGATTTACGTCCCCTGAGCTGTGCTCCTAGAAGATAACTGTTTGTCTTAATTCTAAATTAATTTTAGTGTATGAAATATAGAACATCTTCATGTCTCCAAGAATTATACAGGATATGGGAAAACTACTGTTTTGATTGGCTACCTAAGCTTTCCAAAAGTCAGTTTCTATTTATAACTTGACTTGTACTGAATGTCACACTTAGGTTTTAACTAATTTTGAGGTCTTTGAAAAACTGAACAGCTAACAGTTAAGCAGTTTTGAGGAACAAATCTGCTTTTAATCTCACAGTTAATTCTGTTCTTCTCAGAGTTTATACACTCTTAACCACAGCATTTTATTAATACTGGTCAGCTGGAAAAGAGGTGAGATTTTAATCATTAGCAAGCTGTCAAAATTTGAAAGGACGGCCCCCTGCCCCCAAATGTTTTGTGAATCAAAACCAGGTTTAGGGACGTGCCAAAAGAAAAGCAAAAGTATATGCAGTGTGAAGCCTTTTAGATGTCTACAATATGTCTAAAAAATAAATATATATTGCCTTAATTGAATTGAAGAAAGATTCACCAATGCAAGAAATTGCTTATCATGATGCTTCAATTGAAGGTTTTTTAATTTTCCTGAAAATCCATTCATTTTCAGAAGCAAACTTACTCTTATTATACATTTATATTAACTGCCATGGGAGTAACTGTATTTTAATGAAAAAGCAGCTTTGAAGGAAACCAAGAAGTTGAAAATTGCATGTGCAAGGATTCAGCTATTTTCAAATTCAGCCAGTAGTGTCCATGAACTCCTGGTACTGCAACATAAGAGACTCAAAGAGATGGATTACCTCAGCAATTCATCTGAAAGGACACAGTTCTGAACTAAAGTGCTCGTTGTGAGTTCATACCTTAAAAAATACTCTTCCAACAAAACTGAACCATGATTAAAGATGATCAGATCCCAAATGGACTGAAAAATAGCAGGATATATTTAACCAATAACCCAGCGTGAACTGTTCTGGTATTCTTGGGCAGTAATGTCCCTGTCACAGAGGTATATTATGAAAAACAAGAGCTAAAACTCTAGACTAACCAAACAACCTCAAACTCTCTCAATCTACGTAGGCTTTTGGTCTTCAAGTCCTTGCAAAGATTAACATACTAATTTGCATAATTGTTGACATAATTCTGTAAAGTGATACTATCAAGTTGGTGGAGTATATACGTATGTCCTACATGCGCTGAATCAAGAGAGTCAAGCATAACTACCAAGCTCTAGTAGCCACAAATTCCTAACAAAAAAATACTTGGATTTTCTCTTCAGATCTGTGTTAAACCTGAAGTCATGAGACCAGTTTTTCCAGACACAAGAGCGGCAGAAAGTTATCAACTGGTATCTATAAGGCACGAATGTGCCTCTGTCTTCAGGTTACCAAACATATTCAAGCAGCAAAAGTCTGCAGGATATGAGCTCTGAACAACACTACAAGAAAATTAGTTAAAGAGAAAGTAGGTTTTATGTTTCAAACTAACGATGGTCCTAAGGTCCATCCCCCACGTTTCATACAGTTGCTGACACTAATGTTGAAAGCCAAAGTGCTTGCAGCTGGTTCTCCGATGTGCCCAAGACACTTCAGAGTGAGATAACAAGGTAGCATTATGTAGCAAAAACTTGCAAGCATTACTCTATATTAGAGCCGAAGGAACACGACACCTACCTACCAGAGTATACATCAAACAACTTCCATATTAGAGCCCTCAGTGTTTTCTAAAGTCGAAAACTAGCAGGCATTCTTAGCTTCAGGCTAAATCATTCACCAGGTGAAGAACATTACAATGAAAATTATTAAATCCTACCTGAATTGAAGCCTGTTCCCATACCAGTTGAAAACAAGTGAGAAACAGCCTGATACCTCTACCCTGTTCTGCCAGGCCAGTGAACACTCTTCCTTATCAGTGAGTGTAGTGATAGGACGAGGAGTAACAGTTTCAAACTGAAAGAGGGTATGATTAGATATTACGAAGAAATTCTTTACTGTAAGGGTGGTGAGACACTTGAATGGGTTGCCCACAAAAGCTGTGAACACCCCATCTGTAGATGTGCTTAAGGACAGGTTGGATGGGGCTTTTGAGCAACCTGATCTAGTGGAAATTGTCGCTGCCCATGGTAGGGGGGGCTGGAACTAGATGGTCTTTCTGGTCCCTTCCAACCCAAACCATTCTATGATTCTATGAGTATTACAAAGTCAGAGGCAACCAGTTTCTCATCCCAAGAGCAATAGAAATCGTACAAATATTTAATCTGCTGGAAGCAAGACTAAGAACCAGGCATCCACTTCTCCTTCCTTATTTCTTTACCTTGGCACTTTTGAGTTCCTTTTCTAAATTAACCCACTGTACTGACAAGAGAAACAACCCAGAAAAATAAATAAATAAATACATGTCATGGGTTGACCACAATAAATAACCCCAAAACCCCACCAAAAATCCAAACCACAAACTCTAAGCCTTTCAGCCATCGAAGGTAACATGAGGATTGCAAGCATGGCCTTGGCAGTTCCCATATCCTTGTACTCATAGGTTAAAGCACCTCAAAGAACCACTTCCTAGTCACGCTTCCTCCTTTTGTGGGGCCAGAGAGTAATGTCATAGTCTGCCAGTCATGGTATGAAAAGGCTGAAGAGGAGTGAAAGACCCCCAGTGTCCTATGCAGCTGTTTCAGTGACAAAAACAAGACTTATTTGCTGACCCCTTCAGTATGGCCTAAATGAGAGATGCCAATGCAGAGGGGTTTCCTGGGTCCACCTTCCATCAGCACAACCTTAAATCCATGCTAGGGCTCTGACATTTGCATAAAAAAAAAACTGGATTAGAGATGTGTTTTGGTTGAAAACTGACCACATTTTCATTTATTTTTCAGGTCAGTTTTCAGCCAGATCATATGGCTGTACAGAGGTGAAGGCTGGTACAAGGAAGGTAAAGAATACCTTTGGTTCAGAGAAGATGGGATCAGCTCCCTCCACAGCAACACAATGCTTAGGCTGGCTCAAAGTGTTTAAGGATTTGTTTCCCAATATGATCAGCCTGCAGGCCTTCCTCATGCCCCCACGCTACAGGACAAAGTCATACAGCATTTGCAAAACTATAAGGTGAACATCCCTTTGCTCAGGTGCACAGATCAAACTGCTGTCTAGTCCTCTGCTTCCAGAACTAGCTCTGTTTTGTTATTCACAGTAACTAAGAAGGAAGAATTTCTCTGTATGTTCACCTGAAAAATCAAGATGACAGCTCTGTGGAATATTCTATTAAGCTGACAGCATTTCTCAGGTATGTTTTGGCTTGTTATACAGTTTTGAGCTTGATATTTGTACACAAAACCAAAACTGACATAAACAAAGGTCATAGTATAACTCCCGGAACCATGCCATATTAGGAAACAATGGCTTCAGAAAATTAGTGCTTCCATCAACCTCAGGAAGCAGGTAGGTTGCAAAGTCCTGCTTCTGAGCAAGAGATCTAAGATAGAGATTACTGTATCAGCCTCCTGAGCTAGCACACAGCAAACCATAGAACATGTCAGTACTGAAGGAAGGAGACTGGAAACCCTACTACTTTCTTAACTCAGTACTACTGCTTTCTTTTAATAAATAGTCTCATGAACACTGGTATTGAAAAGGCTACAGGAAAAACAAGACAAAACTTCCCAAGAAAACCAAAGTGAAGTGAAATGGCATATTTAAAAGCTTAAAATTTCGTCAGACAACCACACCTACTAAGTTAAGCAGTTACGAAAAGCCCAAGACAAACCAAAAACTTGAGACAAACCTCCAGAAAAGGTCACAAACAATACACACCATCATTAAATAGACTAGCAAATTTTAGAAATGCTAATCAAGAAAATACTTCAAGTACTTGATGGTATGATCCCCTGTAAAAAGTGAGGATTTTCAAAGTAGTGAAATGTGTTTGATATATTAGAAATACTTACAACTACTCCACTCTTGGTGACAGTTTCCCGGTATGTAAAATTGCACACTGCCCAAGCTAGGTAATACGTGGACATAAGAGGGGTCTGTGAAAAGTGATCTGTAACCCATCCATCTTCTTCAAAAACAGAAGTTTCAACTGGCATGTTGGACAAAGACAAGTAAGTTGCTTGATGTCTGATACTGATTTTGAAAGTGGCCTTGTAGATGGGCTCATCAAAGCAAGGAAAGGCTTTTCTGGCGTGAGTAGGAGAAAACTGCGTAACAGCAAGAAACCTAGAAAAGCAGCAAACAAAAATAAAAAGTAATTACTAACTGTGCCCAGCACTTGATTCATAAACATACCAAATAAGACATTGCTTCACTATTGTGGTTTAGAGGGGGGAAAAAGTACAACTGTATAACTGGTGAAAACAGTTCAAACAACTGTTTGTACACTGCTTTATCACTTTCTTGCTACCTCTACTGTAATGCACTTGATATAAAGTAACAAATTTCATACAAATTTGCAGACACCACAATGATGTTAAATAAATAACTCCTTGTCTTTTATCAAACTTCAGATTCTAGCAGTATTTTTCATCAATATGTGGGGAAAAAAGTGAGCTACTAGTGGTTATACAATATAAAACAAGCACAGTCCTCAGTTCAAACCAGGATTTAACAGCCTTTGGGGAGTTCACTCTGCCCTGAGAGACTGACAGGGCACTTTGCCTTTCTTTGGGCATGAGAACTTACGGTCACACAGTGCACGCAGGAGGGTCATTGTTTTCCACTGCTGATTACTTCCGTATCGGCTGCACACAGGCCTGGGACACAGTGCTATACAGCACTGCTGCGTCTGTGCACGTCCAAAAACAATTCTGTGAGCTTTGCCGAATTACAAATGTAAGTAAATGATTAAACAAGCACAGACTATTTCACTGCTCTTCTACATGTGGTTTTCTTTTCTGGAGTATTTTATAGAGAAGAAATAAATATTTTCAGTTAAAGAGTCAAATTATTAAAAGATCTCTAAAGGAGAAAAAGGTATTTATTATGCCATTGTAGAGAATGGGAAGGCTTTAGCTTGACAATAAAATCTGTAACTGTGTACTTTGGAACTAAAGAGATTTTAACCCAGATATAGAAAAGAAGACTTTCTGGGTAGAAACTTTCTCTTTATACATAAAGAGAAAACCCATGTGCAACGATCTTTTTGCAGAAACAAGAAGTTACGCTTCAAAGGTTGAATTATGGGGTTTGATAAAAGTATTTTCTAGAGGCATGCAGAAGGAAAAAATTACCATAGGCCAACTATGTAACTGTAAAGGTAGCACACACATAGGCTTTTTAAGTAGTATTGATTCATGTCTTACGTTCCAAGGTTCCCTCAGTGGAAATAACCATGCAATTTTAGATACCAGGCAAACATTTATCAAAATTTTAGAGGCTGACTAATCATCTGTTATTCCTCTGAGGGAAGAGGATGGGTGGACAATTTTGATATAATGAAAACGGTGGCACCTATTATTAATCAGCCTATAACCATTATTTTGCAATGTGATACCCTCTAACACTGAGGAAGAAAATAGGTAGCCCATACAGAAAGTGAAGTATCTAATTAACTTTTTCTAAAACTTCTTGGGTTTTACACATATTTTGGAGAAAATGAAGAAATAAATTTATTGAAACATTACACTTTTTTCTTGCTATAGTGCATCTGCACCTGGTAGAACTAGATATATGTTTTCCAGTGAATTATCATCTCTTTCAAATAAGGATAATTTTTTAAAAATTTGAAAAATTTTTCCACCGCTGAAGCATTTATGATCAGTCTAAAATAAAAGCCTTTTTTGGCTAGTACTTATTGAAGGAATTCATCGTACCACATTTTTCTTGTCTCGTTACAAAACATGGATTACTAAAACCATAACTCTGCACAAGGCTGCTAAATCTAAGGTTAAAATTTGGTGCCAGGTATTCTAGTGTTAATTCAGAAAAATTCCATATTATCAGTGGATTTGTACTAGTGCAACAAAGCCAAATCAGCCAATTAAATGAAGCAAAGCAACTTAATTTATATACAAAGTATTTCAAGTGGACCTGATTCTGCATTCTAGGCACACTCTAAGTAGCTACAGACATCAACAGAAGCCTCAAGTGAGCATGGAAAACTGTATTGGCCTGTTATTAATAAAGCAAGAATGATGAACTTTCCTCTGAAATTAACAATTTTAATGAGCTCCAACGTACATGTAAATGTATACTCGGGGAACACCATTTATACTGTGACACTCTCCAAATAAGGAATCTTTCCCTTGTCCCCCCTCCCCAGCCTCCCTCTTTAATACTTTTATATTTAATACTCATTAGGCCATTGAAACAATCTCTTCACCAGGTAATAAATCCTGGTAACTTGATAACCCTCGTAAACGCTTCATCATCTGTATTCTCTCAGACAGGTAGATATATATCCACATAGCTGTAACTGGGCAAACACTGGGTGGTCAATATTTCATACTAAAAATACATCAACTACCAATAACGGTGATATTTATAACACGAGCATTAGTATCAAACATCAATTTGCTTGTTGTGCCATAAAGCAAAACAAACAAAAAGTTAAAACTGCTTCCCAAAAACTAAACATTTATACTTAAAAAACCCAAAGAAACTAAAGCCAAAACATTGTCTCTGTTTATCTACTCCTCTCTGTGTTCAAGTAAAACAAACAAACTTCTATACCATAATAAAACTGAAGAGCAAGCCGAGTATTTCATCCATCTCTTTACACACTACTCTGGGCACCAACATTTCTTTCTCCAATTCCCAAAAATATGACCATAAAAAGTTTTACTTTAGGGAATAACAGGCTTGCAGCCTGTTTTCTCAGCATACCCACAGCAGTACTTCACAGTTGTTTTAATCCCATCTCATCTATTAAAGGAAGACATTTCCTCAACAACCTATCTATTTTGACATCTTAGTTGTTACAAGACAAAAAAATATGTCCGTTTGTTTTGTTTCTGTGATGTAAGAATTTTTTTCCTTTTCATTTATGCCACAGTTTGATGTTCACTTAAATATGCCTGCATATTTTTACAGTACTCTACATTACCTCTGTATTATATGTCTGTATTATGTGCCAGTAAATTCTGGCACATAACGCTAAGCAAATTTGTAGCATATCACTTGCATTTTACATCTCAAATACAGTAGAAAAGACTTAAGTCAGAAGCTGTTTTTATGCAGCTGTCAACATTTCAGACTGATTTATGACTTTCACCTGTGAAGACCACAGAAACTAACTTTAGGGGAAAAAAACATGTACAAGAAAAGGGAAGAAAATGATGGTTTGGACCCTTTTATAGCAATGCAGCTACTGTATTTTAATCAGATACAAAGATGTCAAAAGCTAATGCCCTGCTGGAACATCAAACTCTCCCAGAGCACACAAGAAGCCTGTCTGTCTACCACAATAGAAATTGTCCACATTTAAGGACCACAAATGGTTATATGTATTACATTAAAAAATGGGTTATTAATAAAAATGTAAATTGTTACATTGTAAAAGCACGCTTTGATCAAAGAAGTTCCCTGCTTTAGAATGCGTATTATTCACTTTATACTACAGTGAGTCATTAAGCCTGTGCCAGTTGAAAAACACTACTTCTATTTAACACCTGAAACTATAACCACACAATGATTACAGTTTTAAAAACATTTTACAGAAAGAAATATAAATGAACTGATGTAAAGAAAACACATGCTATTGATTTCAATATAGCAATGCTACCTTACATAAGGTAAGGTATCTATCCTTAGATCTTGTATGACTATACTTAGTGTATTAAAAACAAAGCAATTCATATCTGAAAAGTTACACACAGAATACTGGGAAATGCATTTTATATTGCCTTCCACCCTGTGTCTTAAATTACTCTGATGACTGAAAAAGTGAAAGGACCTTTTTTTGTTGGTGGTGGTTTTTAAATCTTAATTAGAGAATCTGTATTGAAGCATAGTACAGTAACTCTGGAAAAATGTCACTGCTGCACCTATTCGACATTTCAATTACTCCTATACAAAGTCTAAATACACAAGAGTAATATCTGCTTAAATAACTTCTTGGATTTGTAAAGTGAATTATACCTCCTGCTGTTAACAGTATTTTGTTTTCTGATTTGCCTATTTCCATACAGGTCTGTAAGAACTCCCAACTGTCCTAGCCATTCAATCATCCGTGATAACAGGCATTTTATCCGCATCTTTTCCTACAACCATGCTTTTTCAAATTTCCATTTTATTTCACTTTGATGACAAATTGCAAAAACTTAATTTCAATTCTGCTTGCAGTTCTAACATCAGACTGTTTAAACTCTCAGTAATCATAGTAATGAAAATATGTTTTAATAAAAGGACTTTTGACTTAATTCAGTTGGTGAGGATGCTTTTCATGTTTGACTAAGTATTTTTGCCCAGTTCTTCCAACTATAAACTCTTTGTTTCACTTTGCAGTATAAAACAGTAAGATTCAGGAAGAGAAAACCTGTCACTGCAGGTGTTTCATACATATGTTTCAAGAAAGGATGGCTTAAAAATAAACTAATTCTAAAATGATAAGCCATGCCAGAACCACGAAGCCCATCCCGCCTTTCTTTTCTATTACAAAGCCTGACTGTGGTTAGAAAACTACTTTAAAAAAGAAAGCCTCTGTAACTGCCTAAACGGGGGCCTCCACAGTGACCTTGCCCACCATAACAAGGGCCTCGACAGGAACCCAAGGGGCTGTAACAACATGAGTAAATACTGAATCTTGTTCTGCATGAAAACTAATCAGGTTTGCCCGGTCACAGGGTGTAAACCTGCAGCGACTCAGCTGCAGAGGTGTAAACGCATTCACGTTACGTGAAATCACATCCCACCACGTTTTTGCTTCAGATAATAGAATAAAATCAAACCAGCACAGAAGTCTCGCTGCTGGCAAAGTTCTGTCACACAAGGGCACACGGCAGCCAAACA